TGTTGGTGAAACATGGAGAAAATGACTTACGAATTTTTCTTTAAACGGTTTTTATTAAAAAAAAATTCACTTGAATATTTGATAAAATACTAATCAGTTGAAGGGGAACATGTTATCATTAGGGGTGCTTTATATCCCTGTGTACTTAAAATCTCGTTTTCACCGGGAATATTGAGAATAAGGATATTTATTTAACATATTGAGACAAAAATTAAAGCAATCAGATGAGAAAATTACAATTATGTGCAGTTTTAAACTACACTCAGAAAAAACATTCCTTGTTGCTAGGAAAAAAGTATATTATTCTAAGGAAATATTACTTTAAAATGGCTCCAATGACATGGCTGCCTTACTATGAGTAAACGATTTGACTCAGTTTAAGGAAAACAAAATTCTTTAGTTTTTAGGAAAAATTTACTTGCCACATTTCATCCCCGTGATAGGAATAGTATGGCATTTTGCTCGCGGCGCTCAAACAGTGGCAATGGCCGACAGGTTCGAGTCCCATAGCAGGAAATTTTATTTTTATTTTTTTTTTTTTTTTTTTTTTTTTTTTAATTTTTTTTTTTAAAATAAATTTTTTTAATTTATTTTTTATGTTATTTGAGTAATTAAGTTTTTCCATATATGAAATTTATTTTACAATTTATATTTTATTTTATATTTAAATTGAAATAATTGACTTACCTTACTCAAACCACCTCCAACCGGCGTTCTCAGAACCTAAAGCAATAGTAGCACAATTAACTTTATCTTAACAGCACTGACAAAACTCAAAATTAATTAAAGAAAATTATCACTTATATTGATGAAATTATTACTTATATTGAGTAAATTTACTTCTTCAAATTAATGACGCCCTATTTTTAAATTAAGGAAAAATCTCTGAAATTGAGTAAGTTTTTCGTAATATTAAGGAAAAAACAATAACTCGATAATGAGGATACTGTTCTCTTGATTTAAGGAAATGCTTTTTTCTGAGTGTAGAAGAATATCAAGAAAACCGCATATAAAAGTTACTCACTGTATGTAAAGCTTGGGTATTTTTTCCCGTTTTCCCCCCTATTTTCGTTTCGGTTTTAATTTTCTTTTTTTTTTTTGAATTTCTGTTATTAATATTTATTAATACGAAAGGTGTATTTGGCATGATCGCGAGTAGCGAATAGCGGTTTTGCGCATTTACGCTTGCATATGTGCTTATTATGAGCTTAAATGCATGTGTATGTATGTATAAACAAAAATATTTCACTATAAGCAAATTCACCTGTAATTAATCTTATCGTCCCTGAATGTTGGTCGTAGCCAAAGGGGGCTATTAGCGGTGAATGCATGTGTAGATATGTATGTAAGTATCTATCTAAGTAGGTGCTTTGTGTGTTTGTATGTATGTACATATGTATCTGCATGCATACAGTGTATGTATTCATGTACTATATTTATGTACGTTTGTTTGTAAATATTTGAATCAATCAAGGTTATATAAATCTTGACCTTGTGCATTTCGAGCGTTTTTTTTTACGGCAAACTACATATGTACGTTTGCCGCTGTCATTGAATATATGAATCTATTTGTTGTTGTTTTCATTACGTTTCTCGCTATCGCTGCGCTTTGTTAAATTACAAAACAGGGTCCGTCGCTTGAGTTGTAATAAATCAGTGATTCGTTTTTTTTTTTTTGTTTTATACAAAATTTGCAAAAGTGCCAACGACGAACAAAACGACAAAAGAAAATGTATAACTAAGTACTTAAAGAGAATATAAAAATGCAACAATTTCGCGAAAGTACAAAAGGGTACGAATGTATATATACATATGTATTTAAATAATATTGCATGAGAGTAGCAATTAAACCGCCTAACATACTTTGAATTTTAAAGTCGATGCGGAGATGACCAATATTTTTATATAAATTAATTACTGAAATCGATCTGTTGATTATTTTTCTCAATTTTCCATTAACAGCGAGCATTTTTTAAAAACATCGAAAAATCGAAAGTTATAAGGCCAGGAAACGCCCTTTTTTGCTTTCACAAGCCGGACATACCCTGTCTATAAATATGTACTCGGTTATATTCAAGTCGAGTAGAGCCAACAAGCATAAACGGTCAATTTTCAACTCGAGTTATATAAGAGCCAATGCAACCCTGGCTGACACTTCTAAAATCGTTTTTGTACAAATTTCAAACCGTGTTAGGATTTCTACCGATATAGAAAAAATGTGTATATTCAACTCGAGTAGAGTTACTTACTCGATTAAAAAAGGTTTTTATGCATGTGGATCGAATTTACCCCAGTAGAATATAACCGAAAGCATAAACATATATAACTTGCGTTTCAATTTGAGTCTCTCGAGGCAACTGAAGCTCTTATTACTGTTGCAGCAGCACTGCTCAACCCCCCGGATTTTCGTAATTTTCACCCCCCGACTCCGCAAGATTGAGGCCAAGGAAGTAGACGACGTCGATGGGCGCAGTCCATAAGACTTCCGGCATCCTGGTCGTCGGGTTGGAGGGTGATGCGAAGAGGTGTTGGGTGTCGTGTGGACTTTTCTCGTATGCTGTACAGGTGTTTGCCACTTTTGAGTTCAGCAGAGAGAGAGAGTTAGCTGTAGCGCTTGTGGCACCACCCTAAATTCAGTTATGCTACGGTGCACCTGATCTCTCTCGGCAGTTCTGCTTCTTCGGTGTTGATGGCCAGCAGTTGACCACCTAGGACGATGTTATCCTTAGGAATGCTGAGAATCCTCCTGGCTGCATCGCTGTGAAGATTGTTGAGCGCCGCTTTGTGCCGCACTGCGTCGAAAGGATATTTCGAAACAGCATTGTTGGGGTGGATCCTGCGATGACATCTCACGAGGAATTACTTCGATAACATGATGTTGCCTTCTTTCACCCCCAGCAACTTCTTCGTGTAGGCGATACTCGAACGACATGAGGTAGCAGCCTGTGGCCTTACCTAGAGCTGCGTTCCATCAGGTTTGTACTCCACTGCATGTCGCTCGGTCCTGCCGACCATACTGGCGCTGCGTAGTTTGCCTTCGACCGGCCGATTGCTCCATAAATTGTGAGCAGGGTCTCCTTGTCGACTCCCCAGGTACCGCCATATAGCGACTTGGGGACTTTTTTTGAGGTTCGCAGTTTGTTACAAGTGGCTGTGACGTGCGCTGAGAATAGGCTGTAAAACGTCACTCCTAGGATTTTGGGGTGGTTGACCGTCGGTATTTTGGCGCTATCGACCTAGTTCGAGCCCAATCTCATTGATCCAGATGGTGAAAAGTGTGGAGAATTTTGCGACAGAGATCTCAACGTTTGTGGCTGTAAAAAACTGGATCCATGAGCCATGATCGTCTAATCAACAATGTAGCTCACCAAGTTGACTCCATCTGACGCCGGATTGAGTTTTGCCATGCAGGGATTAAACAGTGTCAGACAAAGTACGCCGCAGGTACTCATGCTTAATTGTACGTGGCTTTGATTTGATTTTTACTGCCAGAATTGTCGGCGACATTTTTCCTGTTTCATATACGCTTGTAGGCAACTGTGAAAATTTTTGGAAAACGACAGTGATAATATGGAATATTGTCGACAATTGTGCTGGAAACTGTCACTCTGGCAAAATTGTCGCGACAATGGCGACAAAACCAAATAGAATAAATTTATTTTTATATGGTAATTGCGCGCATTTCATTACTTTTCAATAATTTGAATATTTCTTAAAACTAAAATAATGCAAATGCAATTATTTCATATGATTAACATATAAATTTCATATGGCTGGCGACAATAGTTGTGTTCTTTTACAAATTATCCAGTAACTTGCCAGTAATTCTCCAGTAACTTAATTTCTGAGAATTCGCTCTCATAGCTCAAAGAGCAAGAACGCAAAACCAGTAATAATTTGCAAGTTTTACGAACAGCTGATTAATTTGTTGTTTATTCGCAGCTAGTTCCTATTAAAACAATATATATTATATTTAAATAGGTTTTTTTTTTTTGTGAATTTCAACTATGAAAACCTCATAAACATTTCTTTTATTAGTTTTAATTCCACCCAGCAACATGCGATCAGCTGTTTTTCTCACTTGCCCCTTCTTACAAGTTTTTTGGGTATAAGAACACCAAAACGTGATGGTTAGTACAAACTGGTACAAACTATCGCGTACAAGAACGCTACTAATAACGACAATTTGTCACTTTTTCAATAGAATTTAAGAGGTGGTGACAATTGTTTTTATGAAACAAACCACCGATCAAACTGTCGCATTTTCTCTGACAACATGGAAAATGCCCGTCGTTACAAAATTATCACTGTTGTTTTATGAAATAGGCGCCTATTCATATTTCTAGAAAATATGTTTACGATTAATCTTCAATTAATCGATTAATAATAGAATAATGAAACACAAAACTACGATACAATTAAATCGCAAATTGGACGAAAATAATCGATTAATTTAATCATGTGATTAATCGCTGCCATCCTTAGGACTCGATAGACCATCATATGGAAGCGCCCATATATTCCCTACATGTTGAAGCAATTTCTACATTTGGTGCCATAAAAATCGTACGTGAAATTAAATCTTAATGAAATATAAAAACTTAAAATTAAATATTAATCAGTAAAGAAATTATTTGCCAAAGCTTACCGCTTTTATTAAAATTTTTTTTTATTAAAATTATGTTCACCACTTTTTAAAGTGAATGCAACATTTGAAATTTTGTAATTTCACCACTGCTTGAACATACACTTCGCGCAACATGCAACCCTGTGCCTGAGCTCCTCACTCGTCTCTTTCTCACACATCATGACGATCATCTGCTTTTATTATTTAAGAATGGAACAGCAGCATTGTAAATGTACGCATTTAATGCCTTGGAGCTGGCAACGCTGTGTATTGCAATTGTGTCTTCCTTTTTTCACTTTCATATTCCAATTTATAACGAATTAGAAAAGGTAGACCGATTTGCTCCGACTTGCCATTGCATGTGCGTGTGTGTGTATTCGACTGTCATTTTCATTTCCTAGCTGCGTTTTTAGAAAAGTTCGTGTGTTTAGTGTTTTATTGAATTTAAGGCTGATAAATTGTTGTGAGAAAAGTACATTTCGTTAATTAGTAAAAACGGTACTGCCTCACTGCATTTTGAAGTTAAATGCTTGCGTTTTGATATGTTCGGTAATTGTGAAGTGGCGTGAGACACATATCGGGTGCTTAACGCGCAGTTATTGGGGCGAAACACTTTTACAAGGTATCCAAGTGTCCATGGAAAATCGTTACTTGTTAAGTGCTGTTGAAGGGTTTTGTGCTATAATTTTGCTACATATTGGGGCGGAGAATTCATTGAGTAATTCACTCTTTGCAGCGCACATAAGTTGCATTCTGTTCGCCATTTGACGTAATGCATTTATGTGTGTAAAGTGGTACGAAGCTGACGTCGTGTGGATGTGGTCTTATTTTGAAGAAATAAAAAATAGAGAAAGAAAAATTACATATTAAAGATTTTTAGTGCAATGGTAGCCAACTAACAGCAAGAAAGGAGGAAAACAAAGCAATACGACAGCTGCAAGCCCACAGCCAGCAGACAAAGAAATTGACGAAGTTTAATGCGAGTGCAATGCACAACGCGTTGTCGTTCGTACGGTTCGAATTGGAGGAAAATCGTAATTACGTTTTTGTAATCACTTGTTGGGGGGTGTACCTTGAAAGGGCAATGAATAATCGTAATTGTTAGGATGTTGTTAACAAAAGATATGTGTAGTGCTAAAATCAAAGTAGATTAGTACGGCAGTGTGATAAGTCGGGAATTCAACAAAAGTAAATAACTGCGGTCAAAAAAGTTTAATGACACCAAAATAGAAAACAGCAAATCAATGTACGAAGCTGAAATAAAATAAATACAACAAAAATTGTGCCCAATTGGACGTGCCGACTTGCCAGACTCGCCATAGTCGACATTTTCATGATCATTGTCACACTAATGACAATACGGCAACGCTCGTTTGTCAATTTTCAGTTTCACATTGCATCTCACTGTAGAGCGGTACTACTCTAACCTATATGCGCACAACTATCTGTTTCCTTCGAAGCAGCGAAACAAAACGCTAATCTCTGTGTTTACTCGTTTGCTGTTATCTCTGTTTACTTGATGTTTTTTGTTTTCATTTTCATTTAATGAGTTTTGCCTTTGTGCTGGTCACAAATTTTCCCATTGAATTCATGGTCGATTCGCGAGCGATGCAAACAAATAAAAATACGTCCAAGATTTGTTTTAGTTTCTATTGTTGGTTAATTTGATCAGCATATAAAATTGCAAAATTACTGCGATATATTTTTCGTGCAAAAACTATTAATATTTAATTTGGTTGCAAAAAATTGTTGTTGAAAAGCGTGAATAAAGGATTAAAACCATGCAGGCGCTAACAACAAAAATGTGCTGTTGATTTGCAATAAAATTTGAGTGTATTTTGGATCGAATTGAGCACACGTATAGCAAAAAACAAATCGAATAACAGCAACACCGCAGTAGCCTTGAACTTTTTTCCTTTCACATCCATTTTTGTTTCGTCTTATCTTTGCTCTGCTTCTTTTTCTAATTTTCTGATTTTTTGATTATCTCAAAGAATTGAAAAATTTTGGTGTGCACAAAATTTTCAAAACGTTTTAATTCTGAATTTTTCTTATTTTTTCTCTAAACCAGAACACAAATTTTTGAATATAAAGAGGAAGGGAGTACTAACGAGGCGAATGTCACAAAAGCTTCCCCGATATAAAGAAAGCCAGAAAAACCGATTTGTATTTGTAGTGCAGCAAGTAAACTAGCGAAGCAAGCTTAAAACTTGGAAAAGTAGCACGACAACTCCAATCAACGAAGCAAATAAATAAATAATTGGAGCAGCGTCATATACGCTGTTACTTATAGGCTACTGGTCACGATCTTTGTTGAACCCAAAAAGAAAGGAACAGGCGATTTGATATCAACGGCGTTATCGTCATAGGCATCGCCACTGTCACCGCCACCGTCGCTTCATTGACATCGCTGCTGCTACTGCTATTTACAAAGTCGTTGGGAAGTGTCAAAGCAGAGTAACTGAAGACACGCCAAACGAAACAAAGGAGTGGGTGATTGGGGAGGTAGGCAGAGCGCATAGCATACATTAAATCGCGTCGTAAGCTGTTCATATACTAAGCTAGTGAAGGTGCTAAAAGCGGCCTATAGGTGATAAATTAGCTGCTGCAAACGTAGCGAAAAGCAAAATATAAAAGTGAATTAAAACCTTTTTTATTAGTCACCAAGCAAGCTGCTGGGGAATACAGTGCATATGATTACATGATTACACTGTTTTCTTGATACTATTTGCTGGTTAAAATTTCATTTGCCCATAAATCAAACAACCAAAATTTGCTGCTATTTGGAAACATCGCGTTAGGCCAACTGATAAGGGCGATAACCCAAAAGAGCTGTGCTGCATTGCTATTGGAAATATAGCCGTGAAAGCGTATTTAGCAGGCAGCAATTGAACTGAAATAAACAAAACCGGACATAGTAATCACGTAACATGGAGTCGGACGAGGATTCGTACGAGATGGAGAATGTCGACTCTGGCAATGTATCATCCGGAGACGAGGGCGATGAAGATTTTGGCATGGAAGTCGATATACCCTCTTCACATGATCGTCAAATGGAAACAGAGGAATATCAGTATGAAGTGCTTACGACAGACGAAATAGTACTGCATCAGCGCGAAATAATCGATGAGGTCAACAATGTGCTCAAGGTAATTAAGCAAATTATGTCAATATAAGTTTGTTATCGATTTGTAGCTACTGCGCTACTATACCTATGGCAAATAAGCTGAGAAAATCTTGGGAGTGCCTCAATAAAAAACGTCTTAGAGGGCCTTTATGAATGTATGCCAAATTTTTTGATTACTATTATTATTTTTTTAATATATTTTGTATATATGTACATACGTCCCTGCGGCATCACTTCTAATTGCCAGCGGATTGCATGTTAGTCATAAAGTGTGTTAGCACTTTCTTCCTTCCGCTTGCGTTCATAGTGTTGCTCCTAATGATTTTATGTTGCTGTTTGGGCGTTAGTTGTTCCTTAAAAAGTCTTGCTATATTTTGTAAATTCGCGACCTTCACGTTGAAGGTTGCCAATTCCACTTAAGTGTGGTGGCTACAGTGGGATGATATAACAAATTTTGTTGCTATCACAGCAGCTTGCGTCCTTTCATTGGTATATACATATGCGATACCTTTCTTGTGAATGTAAGAGCATACAAACCTACTTACATTCATGTGTATTAGTTACTTTCATTGTTTTTGCTACCAATCCTCCCACACCAGCGAAGGCTATACGCGACAACAAAAAATAAAAAAAATAAAATCACAAAAAATGGGGTGAGATAAAAAAACAGGCCGAGATTTGCAAATGTGTCCGTCAAGAGTTGTTACGAAATATGCAACAGACGCACTTACGTATCTATGTACATACATACAACAGCTCTGCTGACCTATTTAATACATTACATGTACCTATGTATGTATGTAGGCATATTATTGAAGCGGATTTAAACAAAAATTATGCATACCTACAATCAGTGGTTATTTTCTCACGCGACTTTTTAATATACATACATTTGTACATCCAATGCATTTCAATTTTAGTCTCATATTTATTTTATTGATCTTCTACCGTGTCCCAGTGGTTTTGTTTGTTTGTTACTCATTATTAATTTTGCTTTGCCTATTTTGTGGTGGAGGTGAAAGCCGAGTTTGTTTACAAAACAACAAATTGTTGTTGTGTTGTAAATAAGTTGACAATTGCAAGGGGTAAAAATATGAATCCACACCAACACATCTTTTTACACAGAAATTGCAATGATTTGCATTTTTTCCTTTGCCCGCTGCACTAAGACGCAGCTGTTGGTACTGCTCTCTCGGCTATAAATAGTCTCTTTGACGTCAGTTTAGCCCTTTGTGCTGCCAATTTTTGTGCTGTTCATGCAATTTTCGTACATGAATGCATTTTTTAATTGCATAACTTGGCATTGAATATCAGCTGTTAGAAAATCGATTGGAAAGAAGGGTTTTCAAATACTCCCATTTGGTTATCTTCTGTACAATTGGACTCCAATTAAGAAGATTTGTGCCCTTTAGAGAATGCTGCTGAAGTGCCATTTCTATGCCAAAAATTAAACTTAGTAACGTCCCGCCTGTTGTAGGCACGAACTCTTTTTTTCTCGTTTTACCCTATTAGTCACAAGCTTTTCAACTATTTATTTTAATTCATTTCAGCTGCCGCCCACAATAATCCGCATACTGCTTAATCATTACAAATGGGATAAGGAAAAGTTGTTGGAGAAATATTTTGACGGTAATACAGAGGAATTTTTCAAGGGCGCACATGTCATCAATCCTTTCAACAAAGCCGCCAATCCAAGTCGACTCAAGGTAAGGTTTTATGAACACAATCATTTTGACAATGGGAAGAAATCCACTCATGCCAAAATATTTTCTTCCTTTCCTGTCTTTTCTTGCAGGTGAACAAAAACCCCGTCGAAGAATGCGAAATTTGCTTCTCATTATTGTCACCAGATGTAAGTAAATGAATTTTAAACTCAACTACTTACCGAATTTGGTTTATCACTCTTTCTATCACTTCATTTATTTTTTCGTTCTCTCGCCTCGCTACAGAGTATGACTGGTCTGGAGTGTGGCCATCGCTTTTGTTTGGCCTGCTGGCGTGAGTATTTAACCACAAAGATCGTCACCGAAGGTCTCGGTCAATCCATCTCGTGCGCCGCGCACGGCTGTGATATTTTAGTCGACGACGTAACTGTCACCAAACTAGTGGATCCGCGTGTCAAAGTGAAATACCAGCAATTGATCACAAATAGTTTTGTCGAATGCAATCAGCTGTTGCGTTGGTGTCCGTCCGTCGACTGTACGTATGCAAT